TTGTTAGTTTAACTATTTACTCCTTCCTCTGACAATCGTCTCCTCATATCTCCAATGCATTTGAATATTTCCCCTGTAATTTCACACATTGCAACCGATCGATTTTCTGGCAGCGGACTTTCGAGCTACAGGTCGGTAGCACTTCTCGCGATACCTTCAAAAATCATGGATACCCCAATATATGACGGCCTACGTGACCACCTACTATCGATAAACTCTTTTTCACTCCAACAGCATGGATTCGGAAAAGTCACACTTTTACAACCAACCTGCTGGTTACGATGAATAGATAGACAATCATTCTTCATTTTAAAGAGAAGGTTGATGTCATACACCTTGACTTCTCAAATGCTTTTGATAGGTTCAATCATATATGTCTTATCAATAAGCTCAAACGATAAGCTATTAAATCACTTTCAATTAATTGACTTACTTTGTATCCAAAGTATCAGCTTTTTAAAGTCAGGGTTAACGTCACTTTCTCTCAGGTTGTAGAATGTCCTATTGGGGTCCACGAGGGTTCAGTACTGGGATCTCTTCTTTTCATAATCCAAATAAATGATCTTCCACAGGAGGTATCGTCGGGGTTATTACTTTTTGCTGATGATGTGGAACTTTGGAGAGAGATATTCAATCAAGATGATAATCTGGCACTTCAGGATGACCTGGTTCGTCTTCAGAGTTGGGCAAACATTAACGGACTTACCTTCAACACTTTAAAGTGTAAAGTAGTCCATCTGCGGAATGTTGCAGACCACAGTAAAAAATTACGAAACTCCTCTCTAGAAGTATCTCATGTTGAAAAAGCTTTACAAGTGCTGGTACTATACGATTTGAAGGCTTACGCTAATTGTGACAAAAATTCCTTTCGAGCAAACCTTGAACCGATAACACTGAAGTGCATTCTTCGCCAGTTTGACGGTAGAGCTTTCCATATAATCTTCAGCAGTTTTATTAGTCCCCGTTAAGAGTACGGTAACATAGTATATCCTCCCTTTCTCCAAAAGGATAAAGACACTCTGGAACGTATCCAACGGCGAACCACAATGCGAAACCTGGAAGCACTGCACGGCCGCTTCGTCCTATTGAGGGGCTCCTCAACAGTGTGCATTGAAGATCCCGCCTCGCGGGATTAGAACCCAAAATCTATCGGTCTCGCGCGCGGGCGAATAACCTCTGGACCACTGAGCCTGCGTCCAACGGTTTTAATGTCTAACTTCAAGAGGTATTTCTGTGGTTCTAGTGAGAAACAGTGGCCACTGGAGTTCAACCAACTGTTATGAGATATCAACTCTCTGAAGACGATGGTGGATGATGGTACAATTCCGTGGTATGGTTGAAACTAAAAATTAACACCGTTGGATGCCGGCTCACTGGTCTTGAGGTCAATCGACCGTGCGCAAGACCAATAGGTCCTGGGTCAGAATCCTTCGGGGCGAGATCGTGGATGCGCACTGCTGAGGAGTCCCACAATAAGATGAAACGGCCGTCCAGTGCTTCCAAGTTTTCCAAGGTGGTCTAGTTTCAATTGAATCATGATCTCAACTATTGAAATTGCTATATTATTCACAACAATCCTTTCTGATATTAAATAAATTTCTGTTAACAGAATCCGAAATCACTGACAAAATCATAAACAAAGTTTTAATGTATGTTGACGAGTAATATCTAAATAGTGCTTATCATTTATTTCATCATTCTGTGTGAACAGCGAATCGCTGATAGTATTCTGAATCTTGTAGTTGGATGTTTCCCAACTTTAATATTACTAATCAAAGTTTTTGAATCCCTTTATTTGGTGCATTCAGCACGTTTGTTAACACCAAATAACTAGATGAAATTCTTGGGGGGTTAGAAAGTGAAGTGGAACACTTGTAGGTACATCATTTACTTATAGAATTTGATACTGATAACGAGGTTCAATCGCTTGTTTCACGAGTGATTTGTTGTTTTTGAGAATTACATGAAGTTGGGAAGGTCTTCATACGTTTTCTGTTATGTAGTCTATGGCTTCTGTCAACTAACTAGTATGTGCAATTATAGCCTAGTTCGGTACCAATACTACTTTGATAATAGACCCAATCCGAAAGCGATAAATTTGTCATGTGTTTGCCTAATCTGTAAGATCTTACGTGGAAGTCGCATCACTGTGCACACTGGCTCATCGTATCGTGACAATTAACAATGTCACTTAGTACTTCTGAATAACACATTTGTTCTGGGAGAATAATAATATATTTAATGTGATTAATGATAAGTTACACATAAAGCGCACGTCTGCAAGGCTGAGCCACGTCATCCGATTGAATGAATGTCTTCACGTCCACGACTGCCTACCTGCTCCATGTGTTACATGTCGAATACACATCTCTTCAGTCATTATATGTTTTGCTTCGAAGACTATGTAGTTAGGAAACAATGCCACTACAGGTATTCATTCGAATATACTGTCATAGTGAGGAAACGTATTTATACAACGCGACGTTCTAGCGAAAAGTCTAAACTGATGCGGTACATATAAAGCAAATACTTGTAGTTTTATAATTTTCACAAACATTTGCCTGTTATGATTATCGGTATATCTCACCATGAAACTACAAAGGAGAACGAAAATAAAAATTGGGCAAAAGTTGATTGATGTATCGTTACTGCTGGTTCAGGAACAGCAACATTTGATGCAGAAAAATGAGTTTACAAGTTGGATATATAGTTAAGTTAAAAATACTGCTCTAAAGAACTTCTTATAGTAAACAGTTTCTGTCACATCCCCACACGTTTTTGTATTCAAATCCATATTTTCTATCGTAAAGAATACTACACAAACAAAGGCGTTAGCGGAACTACAGTCTTACCTACTTATTGATGATTATCCTGTAAAAATTGGCATCGTTGAATCTGTACATACTGTTTGCTTAGTCTGAGTGGCGAAATTGTTGTTATCATGCAGGGTGTGAGTGTTATCTATCTTCTGTCGACTGCAATGTATATGCTGAACAATACAGTTTGTATTTCGCAATTAAACGAGCTTACATGCAAGAGTTCGTCTTATGTATGCCAGTAGCATATGACGGCAAGGACGCCGGTATGTCACGATTTATCCACGATCCAGGTTGAATCTGCTTAGTTCTTTTTCTACCAGAAAAACAGAAAAGGATGTACCTCAAATTTACGCAAACCGGACAAAAGTTTCTCCAAAATGGGGAGATTGGGAAGTTACGGAGCAACAATCGGTCCAACGTGTTCACTTCAAGACAGTGAGGGCTAAATCAATGTTCTCCGCAATGATTTTGTGATCCTGCTGCGGCAAAAAACAACTTACATATGAGAAAACTTGATGTTCGAGCAATCCAACGGACATACAATAAACCCAGAGCAATCGAAATACGGAATGACGGCCTCTTGTCAGCCTGCGTCAAGGTCGTTGAAAAGGAACGGCGGGCGGCTTTAAAAGGGTTTGACTTTGTTTTTGCCACATCGAGCTCGTTACAAAGATATTGGGTATCGGCTAACTAGCATTTTCGGTTCTCTAGGTTGTTGCTGATTTCGGTCTTTTCCATTACCAAATGCTAGTGGATTCTTTTTGCTCGTTAAGTTGAGAGATCACATTCTCTATTTCTGTCCAATCTCACCATTTTGCGGGAAATCACGTCTCGTTTTTAGATTTTTCAATTCGCTCCTCCAGCCCACAATATAATCTCCGGCTAGACTCTAGCCGTTACGTACTTGCATCTCAACGAGGGATGCTTCTAGGGCATTTACAACTATCTGGTTGGGTTGCACACCATAACCCTCAGTGGTTCTGATATTATGCTATAGGGTCTTTTTGCATCTTCTCAGTGTTATTAAAAACGATTCTGCATAATATGCTAACATACAATGATACCAATCCAGAAATGACTTACGGAATGCTAGTTGGTTTGATTTGTCCACAAACATCACACTACTCAAATCGTATCGGTTGATTCACATGCTATAATGTTCGAGCGATATATTTTCCCTTGAACCTGGCCCTTTTCCCGACTGTTAATTTAGATATATAATTGTAAAACCTAAAAAGAATTTATTGAAAAGCATATTTTTCGTTCATATATCTGTTTTAATATGATGGGGATTTTTTCACAACTAAAAACCAATTAACTAATTAATCATATAGCTTTTATTGAATGGGAGATTTCCTGGCATACAAGTGTAAGAATAAATAGTAGTGATTGAAATTCACACCAAATGCTCTCCATATAATAATATTCGGAGGTTATGCCAAACCGTTTTATATCGCTAAGCTGGTCTATGCTATCATCAGTTATTCTCTTAGGCAGTTTATGAACATTTGTCTATTACGTTACGCCTAGTTCGTCATAAATCTAAATAAACCCAACTAACCCATGTTTATTGCAATTTTTCTAGAAGACTTCATTTTGTACTGCATTCTATGTCTAAACAACCGTATTGGAGTACGTAACTAAGCTTATCTGACATAAACCCACTCCAACTGCACACTCATAATATGGCCATTGCTTTTTTCCGGTTAGTTATGACATATATTGTATATCTGTAGTGTGGTTTCGAAATTTGGTTTGGTTGCAGCCTTTGGATATTTTTCAGTTGTTGAGGGTGTTTGGAGCACAGCAGACAAGGGCTCTAATAATGCTACTAAGGTTAAAGAAGTCGTGCCGCACGTATTCTCCTTCCTCCAAAAGGTATCATAACATATATTTTAGTAATTTTCGCCAGTTTCCAGATGAAATGCGAGAAACATGGAATGAAAGTAAGACTTATAAATGACCAATATTTTTTTTTAGATGTAAAGAATCTTTTCACTTGGACAAGGAGTAACCAATGCAGTAGTTGCAACTTGAAACAATGTTTTAACTCATATGGATTATTTGGAAAGAAATCTTAGTTTATTTTGTAGTATACCTCCATTAAATATATATTTTAATTAGCTTTTGATTTTCTGTTTTGTCCTTCATTATTCGTATAATCAGAAATACTTTTTCCTAGGATGTGTGATTCAAATGTTCTGCGATTTCTCCTTCTCTGTGGGAAACTTAAAGTAAGAAATCGACTACTTCTTTTACTTATAACTTAATGTTACTTATACACAAACTTAAGTTTTGTGTTTGTTTGCTATCCATAAGTTGTGCAAAAGGATTGTCTTCTGTTTGCATTAAGTCTTAACGTTTTCCTACTTTTCATCGTCGGTTACTGCCTGTTATTCGTATGCAACCACTTTTTGCAAATAAGGATCATAACGTCATATATAATAAAATTCTTAGCATTTAGCTAGAAAGTCATTGTGATAGTCAAGTAATTTTGTAATAAATTTTTAGGAGAAAAGATTTAGAGATCGTGTTGACAACGCCCTACTTTATTTTGAGGATTGCAGTTGAGACAGCGACCTAGTTCTTCATGCTGGTTGTTGATTTGCAAGTACTAACATCACATTTTACTGTATGTATTACTACATTTTCTGAATGACTGTAAATGAAGCTGATTATCTGTTACAGGCCTATCATGTTAATAATACATCCATCAACTTTAAGAAATTCGTGATCGGAAATTTCCGACCTATTGGCAACTTTCAAACCTGTTGTCCCACTTACATACTAATCAGTGTTTCTATGTTGTATTCTTGTGCATATTTTCTTCTCTTAGAAGTAGTTAGGAAATGTCGTCTCTATAAAACCATACCAGTCACAACTCCAATATTTAAAAACACACACCCAACTTCGAAGGACTAGTAATACATTCCCCTCAAAAGCGCTTTAAGACTTTGAGTAGTTATTTTGACTTCACGATCGCTGTCAAACCGGTTTCTCGTAAAAATTCTTTTCTAGAGCACAGCTAAGAAGTGTTTAAGACTTGTATGTTAATAACACTTGTTTGTTCTATTCGCCTTCTCTGGGGTGCTATACTAGATAGCCTAGCAGTATATTGGAAAAGGTATGGATGCCGCTGAACTTGACCTTAGTTCTTAATACCACCTACTAATGGTTTAAAACGTGTAGAAGGGTATTAGTTTTGTAATAAATATCTGTCGAAAAGTCACTATGGGTGTGCAAAGATTCATAAATATGCCCCCAAATGCCCTGGTACGGCCGAGAGTGGGGAGAGTCCGCTCTCCCTCTCGAAATGCTCTCACATGGCCACGCGTAATATAGCCTCTACCAGGGAAGTTCTACTCACTGCCTTCTCGTGTCGGAGGTGTTATTTACGAAATTGAGAGGACGAAAAGCGAATGTCCGGCGTTTTAACCGAGTTAGTGGACACCGAAAGTTCACCTTAGGGAGTTGGAAAACCCTGACTCCAAACCAATGGTGCACATGAGTTCCAGTATCCTGAAGGAACAAATGGCGTATGAACCAATCGTTGGTCACCGGCTACCATTGGACTGCATCTCTTCACGATGCTCCACTGCCTTGTGGACTAGACCTTCAGGTTAAAGGCTCGGGCTGTGACTTCTTAAGAAAACCACCTGCTTCAGTCTGGGCAGTATCACAGCCCTCACACGAATCGAATGAGATTTGTGAGGCGCATATTTATCTGGTGCTTCCTTGTACCAATATTTATGTGTTTAAATAATAAATAAAATAAATCATTTTTCTCGATGACTGGTTCTTCTAAAGTTGTTTTATGGCATGTGTACCATGAATTTTTCACACTCGATTTCAATCACCTCTTTAGAAACTTGTCCCTGTAGAATGAAAATGTATCAAACGGCGTTATATCTCGAAGAGAATTATGAATGGTAACTTTCGAGAACTGTTTATGAATCAATATGATACGTATATTTTCTATTGTATAATTGTTAAGTAACCTAACTATTCATATTCATGTTCCTTATTATGAGCTTTATTTTGACTAATGAACTATTGTCATACGATCTACCGTACTTGGATTATGCCCTGTCTATCACTTACTATCTCCCCTATTCACAGCCACATTTAGCTGAATCTTGTACAAATGTTATTTTCTATTTTATGGTGCGATGTGGTCAGTTTGATTGGTATATAAACAAACGGATTCTTGTGGCAAATTAATCAAAGGTTCTTAATCACATCCTTATTGTTAGAGGTTTTATTTGGAAAATGAAAATAATAAGTCTAAATTAATCAGTCAACTTATCTATGAATTTTCTTTGTAAAAAGCTTAGTCTCATTCTAATGAGATGTAGATTACCATGTCTTTAAAGATGTTTAACAAATGTAAACGGACAATGGGAGATGGGTTTGTTGAAAACGTCAGTAAATATATTCAGATAATATTGATTTTTTCAATGGAAACAACTAGATTTTGACTGCGTTACTTCCACTTTCAGCCCAAATGCGAATAATGGTTAGATGAGATTCTGACATTGGATCGCCTATTGTTATTGTTTTTTAGGCCTTCTGAGAATAAACGTTTGGGTCCAAATGTTTGGCTAACATTTCTACATTACTTACTTCAATGGTTTTGTTGATTAGTGTATAATGGTAGTTTGTTATAATATCACTGGATGGATCACGTTCCGTAACCAGCTTAAGTGTCTTTTAGTTACAGTCTACGATTTTGGCACTGTTTTGATTCACGGTTGCAGTTCGTAACATTTGGAGAGAATTTACTTAATTTATTTTTTATTTGAAGTTTGACGCAAAGACTGCAATATCATCACTGCATCGTGTATTTTCTAAAACGTTTTGTTGATTTCCGTGAAAGCCATTTTTCTAACTACCGTCACAGGAGGTTGCAGAAGAGGTCTTCATTTTTACTTTTACTGACCCAATTAAACATATACTCGGTTGTTAAATGTGGATTGATTATGGATTGTTGATCTCACTCTAACGATTTCGAACATTTTATTACTCAATGTATCTTCTGTTACGTGTTGTAAAATTAAGAATGTGGGAGAATAACCGTATTGTAATGTTCACGTTTAAAAATATAAAAGTCTATGACATCCCACTACAGTCTTTTGGATTGTTGAGACATCCATTTGAAAGGTAATGTGTATGTCTAGTTTTGATAAGTCTTATTCAACTACATGCTTGATTTTACAAAATTCTGGTAAATGTAAACATAACTAGACTTCAGAAGAGTAAGATTATTGCTTAAACTTAAAGAAAAGTGAGGAACAACCAACCAAAAGCTTGAGAGTGCTTGATCGGTTGTTCTTAGCCTGGTACACTTTATAAACTGATTTATCGTACGGACATATTAGAAATATATTTTATGTAACACGTGTCCGTGAAGAGTGCTGTTACGCTAAAAGTGTTGACAATCTTGGGAGTATTTATTTTCTCAATATGAGAATTCCATACTGTATGTATTAAAGTAGCAGGTTAAATCGTCTTTCCATATCTGCTACTACAAGTGCCTTAATATTTCGTATTCGTTGTTTGTGCGGATTACAGTCTATGAGTACATGTAGAGCTTAGTTAGAATAGACATCCGTGAAAATACCTCAAGTACAAACTTATTAATAACTCTCTTAAGTCTATAAGATCACGAATAATCGAGAATTTAACTAGTGTTTTGTCCGGATGTATGCCATACCTTCATCAGAAATCGTATCGTGAGCTAACCGACGTCACTCACATCATGTAGATAAATATTCTGTCTCCTAATGTGTTTTCCAACTCAATATGAGGATTCTTCGTGAGTCACACTTTTAACTTTCACTCGCACTATTTCTCTTGTCTGACGTTGAGGAGTCTTCAGCCGTTTATTCTCTAAATATGTCTCGTTTCTAAAAAGTCACACAAATTCCAGCGATTTCAGCATACAGAAGATAGAAAGAAAGAGCAAACTCTCGTAGATTTATTATCTAGAAGGAAGGTAGAGTATTTGCTTGAAAGACTCTTAGTACAGTTCTCTAAAAAATGATGAAACATAGTACGGATTATATTTTATTATTTTTAACTCAATTTAACTGATTTCATTGTATGAAGACTCGAACATTATTTACAAAATTAAAAGTAGTAATAACTTGGATGATGCCTGAAACTCGTGTAATTGTTTATGTTTTTAGGTATTAATTAAATTACTATAGTTGAAAGCGTGAATCAATTGAAGCTATACCACCATGGAAAACCTGGAAACACTGGACGGCCGTTTCGTCCTATTATGCGACTCCCCCTTTTATAATTAATTAAATTACTATTGTGATTTCTCATTGTTTGGGCCAATTTAGTTACATTCAATAGCTGACTCATTTAGCATGTTTCTATAAAAGACTAAATAAGCTTGATATGTTGTATCAAATGATACTTAGTATTTTATGAAAGATAGTAGTAAAGAGCTTATTAATGAGAGTTTCTCACAGCAGAAATATTTTCTTCGGCAACAGCGAGTTGATAGACGTCCTGATGTTGGATCAACGTTTTCAGTTTTTACATTTTTAATTGAAAGGTTTAATTCACTGGAAAAATAAATCATCAACTCATTATCTACTTAAAACGCTTCCAACATACCATGGATCCCATGCGTTTTTCTGGCATTCCATGAAAAACGTAGTTCAGTTAATATATTTAATCGACAGACATTCTATAAGATATACGCTAGCTATTTTTCAAGGTTATTAGACTTAATATGGTATTTATTCATTTTACAGACTACTGTGTAAAGTTCAGTTGCTATATCTCTCACGGTTAACTACAAACTTACCTACATGTTTTATTGTAACTTCTGAGTCCCCGTATATATATATATATATATATATATATATAGCGTTTTCGAAAATATTTTTAGCGAACTGTTCGAACTGGTTGGACACGTTACAACATAAACTCACCTGAAAGTGTTTCTGATCATATGTATCGGATGGCATTGATGGCTACTGTAATCCCAGCAGATGAACGTGCAAATTTAAACACAGATCGGTAAGCATTGTTTTTTGCTGGTTTAATAGCTTGCTTCGCAAATTCTGTACACTTGTGTGTACGACAAACCAACAGCGGGTTAGTGAAGAAAAATTGGATAATATACAGATAAAGTTGCAAAGAAGCACTCTAAAACGTGGTTGTGAATCCGATAACAGGTTTAAACCGATGAATGTTCACTATTACTATCCCGAAAAACTTGGCAAATACATGTTCAACTGTTCTTATATCTTATGATTCACATTTCGGCTACAGGTGTTATCACTGAATCTACTCTTGGTTCGTTTGATTTCGTGGGCTCAATTATCAATGTCAATGTAACGACAGCATCTTTCAGAGATCTAATACCAATTAACGAACTGAAATATATCATTACTTTTTAATTTTAAAAAAAATCCAATTGGTTAGTTGTTGTGTAATAAAATTATCATAACCCCTTTGTTACGACATCTGTGATTAAGTAGTCGTTGGTTATTTCGCAACTTTTATTCTCTTCATTAATTATTCAATTTTTTACTGACGGAAATCAGCTCCTATTTACATTGCCTTTCGGTTGGATATTTTGTGTATCAATAATTACTTTAGTTTCTGGATATTATTATGATTCACACATTTGGTCAGTTGGACTATGGTTCTTTCGTGGATTCACTTGATGAATATATATTTTAAAGGAACGATGAGAAGAGGTTGATCTGAAAACTCTATTGTATTTTTACTATATATTTTGAACAGTCTGATTACACATAAACTTGTCGACACATTTTCTATGAACGTTAATAAAGGTCAATTAAATGAAAGTTGAAATGAACACAAACTAATAATTATAAAGAAAGAAAGAGAAAACAGATTAATATAATTTTGGAAACGTAAGAAATTATCGCACTACCCTAAGCTATAAAATGGCTTAAACATTACCAGAACAGATTCAAGTTTACGGCAAACTGTTTAATTTTGTGAATGACTATAGCTTGTATAAGTCTAAGAATTTATCTTAGACAATTTCTATACTATACTGCTAGACTGATTGTGATTGAAAAAACTAAGCTCACGATTCTACATGGGCCTAGTCATTGCACAGCCCCCAAATGCCCTGGTAAGACCGAGGGTGAGGAGAGTCAGCTCTCCCTCCTGAACTGCTCACGCATGGCCACGTGCATACAACCAGTATCAGGAAGTCCTACTCACCGCCTCTCCACGAGGATGTTGTTTACGAAATTCACAACACGAAAAGCGAATGTTCGGTGCCTAAAACGGGTTTGGTGAACACGGAGAATCTATCTAGAGGAGTTGGATTTCAAACGAATGGTGCACATCGGCTCCAGGATCCTGAGGCAACAAAAGGCGTATGAACCTATTGTTGGTCACCGACTACCATGGGACTGCATCTCTTTGTGTTTTTCCATTATCTTGTGGATTAGACCTTCAAGTCAAAGATTCCGGGTATAGTCCTCTAAGAAAATCATCTGTTTTGGTTTGGGCACCTGGGCGGTATACCAGCCCTCACACATATTAATAATAACTGCTACTGGCTTCATTGTTATTGTGTGGCGCATATGTATTTGATGCTTCCTTGTACCAATGTTTTTGTTTTCAAATAAATAAATAGTCATTGCTCAAATGATTACGCCACAATCCATTGCATTTACCAATTTATATGTTTGAATTTACACACACATAGAAAGGAGTAACCGAGCAGTACAATCAAGGGCTATGAAAGACACGCGTAGATAGCTTCAGTATTAGAAAACCATATTACATTCATCTGTTTTCTCTTCTTTATTTATAGTTAAAATTTTGTGTTCGTTTGAACTTTTATTAAGTTTATAATCAGAAGGGGGGTTTGTGGATATTATTGTAATTTAATAGTTCATTTAATGAGTCATTTGAAGCTAGACCACCGTGGAAAACCTGGAACCACTAGGTGGCCGTTTCGTCCTAGTGTGGGACTCCTCAGCAGTGTGTATCCACAATCCCGCCTCGTGTGATTCGAACCCAGGACCTACCAGTGTCACGCGCGAGCGCTTAACCGACAGACCACTGAGCCGGCCGGCATCCAACGGTGTTAATGTCTGACTTCAACCAACCCACGGAATTGTGCCATCATCCATCACTGTCTTCAGTGAGTTACTATCTCGTAACAGACCCGGTTGAACTCCAGTGGTCACTGCTTCTCACTAGAATTACAGAAAATACCTCTTGAAGCAGGAAATTTGTTGACAAGTTTATGTGTAATCAGACTGTTCGAAATGTATAGTGCAAACACATTAGAGTTTACTTATCAACTCCGTCTTCTCATTAATATATGAAGACCTATAAAAGAGACGAACTTCTTTGAATATGTATTTGTGTTTAATTATTAGGTATCAAGAACGAAAAAATTCGTGCTGTTAATACTACTAATATCATCAAATCACCAATCTAACTATAGGTCACATATTATTAGTCCCTATGTATTTTACAAAACTGAATAAGTATGAATTATTTAAGGTATTGAATATGGTGTTTGTTTATTTACAATCAATTCAGTCTTCCATAGAGGGAATATTGTTTTAGGGTAAGAATTTTCGTGAAGAATGTTCAGTTCGAGGACAACTTACATTCAATGAATAAATTCAGTTGTTTAACTATTAAAAAGTCAAAAAGAGCACTAAGCACCTAAGTATGTCTATTTTGTGACTCATCGATAATGTGCATCGACATTTCAACGAAAGATCAAATTCAGAACCTTAGAATCTTACTGTGATGATGGTACCTTTAAACCACTGAGTCATAATTCAGTACTTTACATTTCAAATTTTATTCAATTTTCAATATTCTTCAATCATCACACAATATCATCTGTAGTATATAAGTATCACTCATGATACGACTAAACTTCACTGATGACTTCTTCAAACTAGAAACTCACAAAATCTTTTTAGATGTTGTTACCAATGAGTAGTTTTAAACTGGTATAAATTTCCTTCAATGTAAGAAATTTTATGTACCTCAAGTCAAATACAAAATATTCTTTAAATTTATTTACTTAATATTTCGAGTTTGATTTTGTTGATTAATAGCTTTAATTCATTCATGTCAGCTCATGAAAATCACATTTAATATACAAATTCTGTTAATTTCTCATTGAAATATATATTGCATCCTTGTTTGTTGTTCGTTAGATTGTCACATTCTGTCACGGCCCGAATAGCTCAGTGGTAACGTCTCTGACTGTGAAGCTGAGTGACACGGGATCGAATCCGTCAGGGAGCACCAGTTCCCTCATAATTACAGGTAGATCTTGCTGATGGGTGCCAAGTAGCACGAAACCCGGGTCCAGAGTTTTCTGTTGACCACCTCTAACCACCATCTTATCTCAACATAGTGCACGCAGTGTCGAGCCACCTAGACTAGTGGCCACATTGCAACTTGATCGATAGCATTCGATCAGCACTAAGAAGTACTTGACACGCATGACATTGATCATCACCCAGTGATCAATCAATTGTGATTGCATAATTCCATTTATTGGTATTTTATTTATTTCTATTTACCATTTTTTGACAGTTTTTTTCCTTATGGAATATATTTTAACAAAGCAGTATTGTTTTAAATATTTGATTCTATTTGTTATATCTGTAAATGAATTAATTTTTCTAGATTAATAAAAATGGCAATTGTGCATGATTTAGCTGAATGTATCGTGGGTGATATTACACCACATTGTGGAGTGTCTAAAGAAGAAAAACTATCCAGAGAAGAAGTTAGTAAATATTTCTTGTTGGTTTGATTACTGAACTACTTTATCATGTTGTAACAATCAGTAGTATGTGTTTACATAGATATCAGTTTTCATCCATCAGTGTAATCAATAACTAAGAACTTCTAGCCTACTATTTTGATAATTGGATTAACGGGATTTGGATGCAGAAGAATTAGTGTTCGTAAAAACTTTGGAAATGCTTTGGTTACAAGAAATTATTCTATTCACTTAACAAGGTGAATACATTTTTTGTCAGAATGCAATTACTGATGTATCTTTTTATATCACTAGAAAAACGAAACATATAATAAGCCATGTTTAAATAAAAAATGGATTTAATAAGTATATTCTGCTTCTTTTTCATTACTGATTCTTCAGTGGATTGCTTTGACCTGTTCATTGGATCCCATTTGCCAGTTTTTTGTATATTTATACTCTAATGATTGTAGTTTTTTGTATATCTCATTATAAAAGAGTTTTGTAGCAAACGTGAAATTAGGATGAACTTAATAACTAGGCAAGGTTTTCAATTGTAGTTTCTTTAAACTCAAGTGAGATTGAAGATCTTCAGTTCGATTCCCTCGTGGGAACTCGTAGATGCATACTACTGAGGGGTCCCATACTAGTTAGAAATGGACGTTCTGTGTTTCCAGGTTTTCATTTGGTGTTCTAACATTAGTCGGTTCATTAATTCAATGACATTCAGTAGTCTCTACAACTCTATGCTCACAATTTTAACGTTTTGCTAGTTATATAGCAGCCTATTTCCAAAATGTTATCTGTTTCAACATAAATATCCAAATAACCTTAACTAGATGCCATCTGTTATATTTATGTCATGCATACTAATCAAGTCTTATTGTTTTAAGCGATCGAACGTATTTTGCAAAGGATTTTTACATAGATTTCCTACTATTTGCCACTCAACATCAAGGTATGTTTTCAATTTTGTTCAGACTAACGCTGTTGTAAGATTTAAACCAGTCTCATTCAGTGTCTCGAACTAAAACACTATGACTTGGCTTTTTAGAATAACTAGGTTTTCCTGCCCATCGCCTAACATCTCAACATACTGTGCTCCATGTCAAATCACTTAGACTAGTGCTCACAGCACAAATTAATCGATAAAATTTGACCAGCACCAAAAGACTAAAGAGATATAACATTCGTCACTGGGCCCTCAAATGCCCTGGTACGGCCGAAAATGGGGATAATTAGTTCTTCCTCTCGAAATGCTCTCACATGACCACACGTATACAATCTTTGCTAGGGAAGTTATGCTCACTGCCTTCCCATGGCATTACTGTTGTTTAGGAAATTGATACGACAAAAAGTGAATGTCCGGCACCTGAAACGGGTTGGCGGACACGGAGAATCCATCTAGAGGAGTCGCAAAACCCTGATTTCAAACCAATGGTGCACATCGGCTCCGAGATCCTGAGGCAACAAAAGGCGTATGAACCTATTGTTGGTCACCGACTACCATGGGACTGCATCTCTTTGTGTTTCTCCATTGTCTTGTGGATTAGACCTTCAGGTCAAAGGCTCCGGATTTGGCCCCTAAGTAAACCATCTACTTTGGTATGGGCACCCGGGCAGTATTCCAGTTCTCATACAAGTCGAATGATTTGTGTAGCGCATATATATTTGATGCTTCCTTTTACCCATGTTTATGTGTTTAAATAAATAAGTTATAAGTATATCAGTCTTATGGGATGTTAGTCGAGACCAATAGTTCGACGATAACGTTTCTGACTGTAGAGCTAAAGGACGTAGATACTAATTTCACAGGGAGAATCATTTTCTTCAAAATCTCTGACGAGTGTCAGCTAGCACTAAACTTAGGTCCGCTGTTCTCCTGACTACTTTACAACAGTCGAAATTACATCTTCATGCGTAAGTGTTGTATCCCTAGTTCCTTGGTAATTTATTTTGTAGGATGCAATGAAACAATTATGTGAACTTATTTCAGAAGAAAACAGGACGGAAATTATGGATCTGTGGAAGGTAATTTCCTTATTATAACGATTACATTTGATAATTTATACTATCTATAGGAATATGTTGATCAAAAAACACCAGAGGCCGTTATTTGTAAAGATTTTGACAAGTACGTTATTTCATTACCCTAAAATATCTTTTTCAATAGATTTGAGATGCTCTTGCAGGCTTATGAATATGAACATGAAACACTTGAACCAGGAAAATTAGAATCATTTTTCGAAAGTACCCTAGGTAAGCAGTGTTTTCATTATTCGAATTTTCTTTTTCCCCCAAATGTTATCAATTTGTTAAAGGAACATTTAGCACAAGCCTTGGTCAAAAGTGGGTCAGAGAATTGTGTTCATTGCGGAGAAATTTATTTATTCAGTGTGAATCTAGTGATACTTAAAGGTGGCTAGCAAGTGCCTCAATTTTTACGAGACTTCTAAATGATGCTCTTTTTCCATGCATTTAAATACTTCTTTGTACTTCTAATAAATTTTGACAAATGATAAATATTTCTTTTGATTTTAAAAAGTCATTTGTACTGAAGCTTGTCGCCTTTTTGTTATTAGAATCAAACAGTTTCCTGTTACTCGCTGAATGACATTGTAGTATCTTTATTTTGTGATACGCATCTTCAAAATTTTTTTGTGTTTCTACGGATTATAAACCGTTGAGGGTACTCTGATTCATTCAATTCAATCGTTGGTTTGCTTATGAGTTATTTGTTAAAGAGATACTCTTAGTAAAGCATTGTCGTGTTACGCTCAGAGTCAGATATATGCGGTACAAAATTCGACGGCGTAATGTAAAAAGGTATTAATAATCACTTTGGCGGTTGTGAGTGGAGAGTTCAGTACAGTATTTTACCATATTTCAAATAACAACCGTAGCAACGATAGTACATAGAAACTAATTTATTTTTACTAATTTTATGATCATATGAGAACTTCACACTAAGTTTCCGTCATGGATTTTCACTTCACTACATAATCCACGTGTTTATTACATTAACAGTTAAAAACCTGCTTGCCATTTATAGCTCACTAAACAAATAGGAATTATATAACTGGTTCCGTCTCGATTTTTCGGCTTTAGTTAACACTTCGTTCAAAAAAGACAGTGTTACAAAATCTAATTACTTACTTACGCCTGTTACCCCTTTGTGGAAAAGCATAGACCGCCCACCATCATTTTCCATCCAACTCTGTCCTAGGCAATCCTTTCCAGTTGTTATTCATCCTTTTCACATCTGCTTCTATCTCCCGGCGTAATATGTTGTTTGGCCTTCCTCTGTTCCGCTTCTCTTCTGGATTCCAAGTTAGCACTTGCCTCGTGATGCAGTTTGGTGATTTCCTTAATGTATGTACTATCCTCTTCCGACGTATTTTCCTAATTTCCTCTCCAGCTGGAAGTTGATTTGTTCTCTCCCATAAAACGCTGTTGCTGATAGTATCCGGTCAGTGGATGTTGAGAATTTTGCGAAGACATCTCTTTATAAATGTTTGTACTTTCTTGACGATGGATGTAGTGGTTCTCCACGTTTTAGCTCCGTACAGTAGGACTGTCTTAACATTCGCATTGAAGATTCTGACTTCGATATTGTTTGACAGTTGTTTTGAGTTCTATATTTTCTTCAATTGTAGAAATGCTGTCCTTGCTTTGCAAATTCTCGCCTTTACATCTGTATCAGATCCTCCTTTTCATCGACGATGCTTCCCGGATACGTGAATGTTTTCACCTCTTCCAGAGTTTCTCCATCAAGATGTACTTAGTTATTTGTATTGATTTAGTTAAAAATAACTCGAGTTAACCCAACTTGTCGAGTATCTATATTGTCTGACTCAGCTCCTTGCTGGAAATGCATCTGTCAGCTGTCCTCCATGAACCACTTTGCACTGTAGTCCATCGTATGAGTTTTGGATAATGTTGACAATCTTCTGAGGAATCCCATAGTGTCGAAGAAGTTCCCATAATGTTCCCCTGTCCACACTGTCAATCGCCTTCTCATAGTCAATGAAGTTGATGTTTAGTGGTGAGTTCCACTCAATTGATTATTCAACGATGATCCGTAGTGTCTCAATTTGGTCTGTGAACGACCTATCCTTACGGAATCCAGTCCGTTGATACTTGTCCCTCTTCCCAAATCTTCTTGAATAGAAGGTGAAGCATGTTTGCAGTCACTTCTATGTCTGACTTCAGTGCTTCAGCCGGTATATTGTCAGGTCCTGCAGCCTTCCCACTCTTGATTTGTCTGGTCATCTTGATTTCTTCTATCGTTGATTGAGTGACACCTATAGGAAGGTCATTGTGAGCTGCCAGTATTTCTTTCGCTTCAGTCTCATCTTGGCCACAGCCAGGTGGTGGTCTGAAGGTATTTTAGCTCCTCTCCTGGTTCTCACACCTGTTGTCCTCCAGAATTTTTTCTTGATACAAATCTGATCTATCTGCCTGTAGCTCTTCTAGAGTTACTGCCGATCTCAAGCTCGGGTAAAGGAGGAGGGTTGGGCATGAGGTTAGCGACCCCATCCCGTAGAAAAACTAACTCGCTAAAAAAACGTCAAACAGAAAAAATAGCTCAAGCCATTTAAACTCTGTCCTGAGTGTTGAAGAAATAATTATGGCGCCTCATGATGAAAGCCGGAAGTCACGGGGCCGATGCACCTTCTGACAACCAGAGCAACACTTTTTATAGGTACATGGAACGGCCGGACAATGTGGGAGATAGGGAAGACCAGTCAGTTGGCAATGGAAATGAGGAGATACAAATTGGCAGTATTTGAAATCAGCGAAACCCATTGGACACAAGCTGGACAACAAAGGCTAGGTACGGGAGAGACGCTGATGTACTCCGGTCACGAAGGGGCAAATGCTCCACACACTCAAGGAGTTGCTGTAATGCTGACGAAATGTAATACATGTCAGTAAAAGTATTGATAAACTATAATGCTTGATACCTAAGTGTTTAGTATACAGGCAGGTCGGTGAACCTCTCTACATTCCTTCCAGTATAGATAAACGAATAATAAGTTTTTTTATTACTCGTGTTTCAGCAATTCAGTATGGATTCAACGATGGTGATAGGCCTAGGTTTTCTTCATTTTTGAGATTCGTCACTTCTGCAGTTTCTCCAGATGGACCGTGTTCGTAGATCGTTAGTAGCTGTTGTAGTGTGCTTAATAGCTTGAGGTGCCCTCGTGCTGGTTTCGCCTCATGGTTCAAGATTTTATTATTAATTGGTACTTTGACCAAGTCTCGATGACTGAAGCTAGGGTTCTGGTGAGTAAGTCCCAGGACCTTAAAGTATGTGTGGGTTTTCTTCACTTTATTATTCATGACGTGACCATAATACTTGTGCATTCTATGTTGATGAAAGTGTTATCAATATTAAGATGTCCTTACGCATCGAAACTACAAGGCCCTCTACATGAACTAGTTGCTCGATTGCAATAATGTCAGTTTCTTAACAGTATAAGATAAACCATAAGGTCTGTTGACAATGCAAGTCCAAATTTTAGATGATCTTGTATTTGAGAATAGATTTCGGTATAACCATTAGTTTGTTTCGCGATCTACCTCTACGTATATGAGGTCGTCGCAAATCGTAAGAATGTCGTGCGACACGTTACCATGCATAATAAACGTTGCATTGGCGATCTGTTTTACGTTACATAAGTTAGGAAATAATCTTATTTTCTGCTTTCAGAGAAGGGTTATCAGTCACATATAACAGGGACTTATGATGTGGAATTAATTTTTTATCACCTCAGACACAATGAGATCAACTTTTAACTCTAAGTTTGCTCATTCTATAGAAAACAAGTAGTTCTGTGAGTCTTCGGTGGTTAGACTGGCCTCGTTATTTTTACTGGACATCAGTGTTTAAGTGTTTTCAGTCACGCCTTGTACCAGGGCACGTTCGGGCACATTTTGCTGCGTATCTCGTACAACAGTAAGTCAGCATGGACTTTGTACCTGCATATGCAAGACTCGAGTAAATGTATTTCAGACGAATAGTGCATTCATGTAAGCCCAGACAATATGTTTTGGAGTTAACCAACGTTTGGTTAACTGTAAATAAATAGTTTGCTGCTCCAGTGGTTAGTAATTCGTCACGTTCCTATTTGTGTTCTGTTAACCAGCATGATTACCATATAGAGACCGTTTCAGACAGTCTAGAGTTTTCTCCGGCCAAACGTATTCTGAATCTACGAGATTCATTATGTATTGAGACTAAGTGAGTATGTTGACAATTTTTTACTGATTTACTGATTTCATGAACTTCTTATTGAACCAAACATTAGTAATGATAAAAATTATTTTCGTTGGTTGTAGAACCACGAAATAATGATGTGGGAGATAAGCACACCATTTGTAATCGTCTGTTATTCAGTACTTCAGGCTTCTGGGTTTGTGAACCTGTCACGTTTATTGGAATCTAAATATTGACATTGAAATTGTAATCTGAAGTATCCTGAAACTTTGAAATTTGTCATGGTATCATGAAGTGGAGAGATCATGTGGCATTATTAGACATTTGGCCAACGATGTACCGAGTTTAGTCTAAACTGACTTACGGTTGTATAAGATACGTAGCGCTGTGTACCGACTCGTTATCTGGTGTGGATACGTGACCGAGCGCCTTTGGCTAAATGTGTCCATTGAAACGAATGAATTCAATATCAGATGTCAAAGATTTAAGGACTACTAATCTTGAGGATTTATTTACCGCTACAATACTGAAAGATTCGCAGCTATACACTACAAAATCACAATAATAAATAATGCCCATTCTAATTTTGAAATCAATGTTACCTGGTAAAACGCTAGCATTAAGTGTCTATTTCAAAAAGCAATGTAAGAGCAGAAAAATCAACTGGTTTTCGTTTATTCTCCCGGTGTTAGACATTGGAACTGAAAGGCCTAAAAGTTGGAGCGGCTTTCAAACTATGGCGGATGGAAGACGCGGTACCCCGAAATGTAACCCAGAAGTTCGTATTGGGAACTATATAATCGGAGAAACACTTGGTGTCGGAACTTTTGGTAAAGTCAAAGTTGGAATTCACAAATCTACCGGAGTACAAGTTGCTGTAAAGATAGTGAACAGGGATAAAATCAAAGCTCTCGATGTTGCCGGCAAGCTACGTCGCGAAATCTTGAACCTATGGCTTTTCCGACATCCTCATATCATCAAGTTGTATCAAGTCATTAGTACTCCGACTGACATATTTATGATAATGGAGTATGTCAGTGGAGGGGAATTATTCGATTACATAGTGAAGTCCGGAAGACTCTCTGAGAAAGACGCTAGAAAGTTTTTTCAGCAAATAATTTCTGGAGTCGCCTACTGTCATCGCCATAAGGTTGTGCACAGGGATTTGAAGCCAGAAAATTTGCTGCTGGACT